AGTGGGCGGAGTTACAGCGACAAACATAACTTTTTTCTTATTTCTTAACATGATTGAGACTTATAGAACGTACACCCCTCAAGATTAACATAGTTCTACATGATTGATTCATGTTTCGACGAGAAACATGAATAAATTATGTTTCATATATTAAATGCATATTTGCAAATTGAACAACCCCACTTTCCCCTTTTTTCAGTGCACACACACACGACACACACACCTTTTTGATATGATTTGTATCATTATTTAGTCATTATTACGCATTATCACACAAGACCTTCACTGCAGTTTAAAAACACAAAGGCAGAGACCTTCTTTTGATCTGGTCGATTTTGTTGGAATCAATAATTATATATAATATCTAATTATATGAATACAATATTTAGGGAGTTGATGCATATTTTAAGTGTACTGTGTTCCACTGTCACACAAAACATCTGACAAAATTGTTTATTGTTGTTAGTTTTTAACTACAATTTGCTTTAAATCTCTCAACACAATATAGATGAGAACAATTACGATTGGTTTAATTTGTTCTCAGTATATAATGGTTCATGCATAAACACAACACGTTGAATTTAGTTTAAAAATGGAAATATTTAAAACATGTTTTAATAAAAGTTCTTAATACATTTGAAGAAAAACCTTTAAATAATGAAGTAACATAAAATAAATCTAATTTTACCAAAAAGCAAGTCATATAAATATGACAAAAAACTCTGAGAATCAAAAAATGTGCATTCTAATTATAGGTAGCTATTTAATACATTTCTTATATATATATATATATATATATATACAAACAGCCCAAATCAGACAAGATATGGCACGTATTTAGTACATATATATATATATATATATATATATGTACTAAATACGTGCCATATCTTGGTAGTTATGTGTAGGTTTTATTTAGCCAGTGTATACTGTATACAGACTCTAGCAGGAAGTGACTTTCATCAGGGAGCCATGTTCTCTGTCTATTCAAAGCCAGCTTCATTGTACTGGTTTGCAGCGGGCCAATTACTGAGTCCCGTTCCCTCAGCCCTTTCCCTTTGCTTTATCCACAGAGAGCACAAAGACTCTTTCTCTCACTGAAGGAAACGCTAAAGGCAACTATAGTTCTTTTCTGCCAACCGCTGTTAACTGTTTCTTTTCTAGCCTGAATTGGTGCAGCATTCTAATCACAAGTCCTGGCCTTCATCTTGCCACCAACTCACTGCAGTATGCTTAAAGGCCACTTTTTGCATTAGAGAAAGTCACAAGCTTCAGACAGCAGCTGAGGTCTTTGTTTCTGTTTCCTTTCCTTGCTGTAAAGACAAAGGCTATTCTTCATCTTGTCAGCAGTATTTCTTTACCATTATGTGACGCCTTTAATAAAAGACAGACAAAGAACAGATTACGTAAAGAATTATCAAGAGAATTACAGAGGATAATGAATAACAGTGAAGTTATACAGGTGCATTGGGTTCAGGAAGGTAGTAAGAGACATTGAGGAATATCTTTTTTTCCACAGCTCGACATTATCCACAGCAGCGGATTCTCAGGAGCTTCTTATTTTGAGTTTATTCTCTCATGTTCTATACGCTTGGCACAAGGAATCTTCCAGAAAAGGCTGCGTCTTCAACTCAAATTAGTTTGTCTGTTTCGCTAATTTAAAGACCCTACATAGAACTCTTGGTAGCAGACAGTCCACTGTAAAGAGGCCAATGGATTTTGATGGATTAAAAAAATTATCCTCTTATAGAGCCAGCAAAGCCTCGTGTTTCCACTGACAAGCAGAGAATGCAGAAACCCATTCTGAAAAACACAGCGGGTTGCTATCTGACATGTTCCAAACCAACTCTCTGGCAGAGAAACTGCTGGGATTTTCTGCTCCCCGAAAATAAACCAGTTCATTTTAGTTGTGTGACATGAAATGCTGTAAGAGTGAAGGGTCCAGTATTCATGTGTTGCATCAATTGAGAGCTCTGCCAGGTCAAGCTATTCCTCTTATGTAACCAATGTAATCTGATTTATTATATCTGATTACAGTTAATTTACAGGAAATGTCTTCAGATTTGATTCTGGATATTAATGAATTATATAAGATAACCCAGTTAAAACGGCAGTTCTTGCTAAACTCTGACCAGCATAGACACCATTTATGCTGAGGACACTGAGGACAAATCACCAATAGCCAATGTTGTCCCTGGTAGAATTTGTTAAAAATGTTCCGAAAAACTGTGTGCACAAAGAAATTCAATAAATAAGAACACTGAGAATTATTTGCAAAGGAACAAGAGAAAATAAACAATCTCTGAACAGTTCATCCGTTCACACTTGGTATGTGGGACCCTAGAGGTGCAACATGTGACGCAATTATTATCAGTAAACTTATAGGAAATAGAAAAGCAAACCATCTCCCTCTGTGCAGCAGCGGGGCGGGGTGAACAGCCCTGTGCTATAGACGGACACAGGAAGTGCACTAGTAGTCAGAAAATCTATCTACCAATCTATCCATGGTGATGAATGATTAATGGACAGTACTGTAAGGAAACCTGCAGGCACCCCGATGAGGTTTTATAATAACTAAGAGAACCTATCTACAACATTGTTTTACAATGCGAGACAAACGTTTTTTTTTAAATGTTTGCATACAGAGAGATCGCAAAATCCCGGCCAATGGAAAGGAACGCTCTTTACCTCTCTGTGTGTGTGTGCTTAAGTGAACTTTCACTGTTGCACAGTAATGTGACTGCATGCGTGTTACAGTAGCTGTGACATGATATCCATTCAGAAGACTCACTTTTAAATGCTGTAAGTACCAAGTACACACTGCCTCTGAGACACAGGCGTTATTGTTACAGTCGTACTGTATGTCCATGAATAACAGCAATGTTACAGTACAGGCCGGTGTGTCACACTGTGCCTCACAATCTGCCTCTCTCTCTCGCTCTCTCTCTCTCTCTCTCTCTCTCCTCTCTCTCTCTCTCTCACTCTCACTCTCACTCTCTCTCTCTCACACACCCCCCCCCCCCCCCCCCCCGTTGTGTCATGTAAGTTCTGTAGACTTGGCCTTGGACATTGTTGTGCAACCTGTCTTCACATTGTGCCTCTTGGCCCAGCACAGCATTAAATGGACTTCAGTCCATGACCAAACACCTGCCAAAGTAATGTCATTTGCATCAACGCTGTAGTTCTGTGCTAATCAGCATCATGTTAGCATGCTAGCTAACAGGTTGTCTGAAAGGCAGAATACGCCTTTCAGAGACGTGAGCATGCTACAGACTCAATCAGTTTGGATACTATAGATAGTTAGTATTTTAAAAGTTATATTACCAGTGGCTCAACAGTGAATGAAAAGGTATGACTAAGGACCAGAACCACACAACAAACCTCTTGTCCAACAAACAAACAAATAAAAAGGACAACCCTAAATCCTAAAGCATAAATGTGCATGACTCCTGTTGTTTATCATTTCACTCCCACATTAGGTGAGAGCCCAGCGTTCACACTGTGAGGCATACATCAGATGCTAGCCCCTCTTCTCACACATGAACAGATGTTAAATCGATACACCTGTCCCTGAACATGCATTACACAGGAACACACATGTTCTCCAAGGCTGTTATTGATGCCATCCCTTCATTGTTGTTGTTGTTGTTGTTGTTGTTGTGAGGCTCTCGTACAGCAGCCTGTGCTCTGCTGATGTTGCTGCAGGGACACTTCTCGTTGAACCTTGGCTACGGCGGCTTGGCGTTGGATTGTGCAACGTTAGGGGAATTGATGTGTGTGTGTGTTGCGCCCTGAGAGGTGTCACCTGACCCAGCTGAGACACAGAGCGCTCTGTTTCCCTGTATAACAGCACCACTCATCACACTGCAGGAGACGATGTTTGATTTAGGGCACTCGAGCCAAAGTGATTGTGAACATTTGCTATGCTTTAACATTAATTCAAATTCAACCAATTACCATTACACTAAGCAAAGTTATTGGTAATACACATGTTCCATTTCTTTCATGTCAAAACAAATCCACCATGAGAGCATATGTGTTTGATATTTTAGGTTCATAGAAGTGTTACAGTTAGATCAGATCTTCTCTCCTTAATATTAGGGTGTGTAGATTTTTGTTTTCAGAAGCATCACCTGATTACCTTTTTATAAAGTTCAACAAGCCCTACAAGCAGTAACATTTAGCAACGTTTCTGCAGCTGTTCAAACATTTGGCCTGAATGGAAGATGTAGGAATACCGTACACTGCAGAGAAAATGTAATAAATAAAAATGTAGGTAAGGAAGAGAGAATGATGCAAATGTAAATAGCTTTAATACACCTGGCACTAAGCTGCTGGTGTCCTCTGTGCTTCAGTTGTCCCTGCTTGTCTCCACACTGATACAGAGCTTTATATGTTCAGTCTATTTATAGAAGACATACTGCAGGCAGCGCTCTGTGTTGGCATTCTGCTGACCTTCCTCAGAAGTGCTGTGTGAGGTTTACAGAATATCACCGCATCAGACGGTGGTGCACTCCCCCCCCCCCCCCCCCCCCCCACACCTACTGCTACAGTGGGAATGCACCAGTTCACATCTGCCCTACAGTCAGGGATTACAAAATGGGTGTCTTTCTGTCTGCAATAAAATCTATTATTAGAACATTTCTTTAGATGGTCACCAACAAAAATAGAGCAACATACACACCAGAGGCAGTGACGAGACCCAACATAATCACTCATTTGCATAGGGATAATTGTACCAGGGATATCTGTCACAAAACGAGTACAACATGCAATATGTTTAAAATATATGATGAGCCAGCAAATAATAATAATGTTATATATATTGTAAATATTGGTTTTAAAATAATTAGACACTTGAGAAATGTTGGTCTGAAACTATTTAAATGAACGGTCTTCAACATGTTTTCTGGAGCATTTACAGAAATGCTTGAAGCAGTCAGTCTAATCTGAGCCTTCTTTACAATTCTGAATGACACCTGACTTCCTTCTGCACACAGGTCTGAGTACAAGGCTTACAGAGATGTGAAGCCGACAAAGATGATCCGGGCCCGGTCCCAGTACCTCCCCCCCGACGAGAAGTCCAGCCTGGAGACGAGCTACAGTGCCACCTACAAGGGCCAGGCCCCGCTGCGGCTGGACAACAAGGACCACAAGGCCCTGGACCGGAGGAGGATACGCAGCCTGTACAGCGAGCCCTACATGGACCCCATCACACAGGTGAGGACACAGATTTAATTTAAACACAACTTTAATCAAAGTAATTCAGGAGAGGACATCTTTACATGCTGCTAAGTGGACTATATGGAAGAACAACTGAACTTCAGGCATCATCTAAGTCACATGCACACTAAACTCTCAAAAACAACAGGTATTCTGTATGGAACCCCTTATCTTAACCACTTCTCTGAAAGATGGGCAAACAAGTGCTTACTAAATCTACAGTATAAACATTCTGTGGATTGGTAAATAAGACCATGCAACTCCTCTATTTATGAAACTTCATATACTCAAATGTGTTGACATAGTTGAGCTGAAGACAGCGCTGGTGATGCACAAACCCTGTCCTCCTAAAACACTCAGACAAGTCAGCGAGGACCCAACGAGGAAACAAGTACTTTGTGTAGATGCCTTACAGGGAAAGTGTTAAGTCTCACAGTTGATCAATAACTGTTGGTGATAAAACGTAGATAAACCTTCATAACTCAAGTATTACTTCTCATCAACAACTCAAATGAAAGTTTAGGGAATATTTTACGAACAGATTACCCACAGTTATGTTAATGTAAGTTAACAATATATATATAAAATAAAAAGTATAGGCTTTTAAAGCTTTGGTTTTATCTTTAAAAAGGATTTTAAATGATGTTAGTGGTTAGTGGCTCCAATGATGCTGTGGCGCAGTGGCCTAATGCGTTGGTGTTGGGATCAGTGGGTCACAGGTTCAAACCCCACTGCAGTCAGCATGTTGTTGTGTCCCTGAGACACTTCACCCCAAATTGCTCCTGTGGGGATTGTCCACAGTATTGAGTATGTAAGTCGCTTTGGATAAAAGCGTCTAACAAGTCACATGTAATGTAATGTTGGCTATTAGTGTAATTGTTTTCTTTCTTTAAAATGTAGCACTGCGTTGTTTTGGCCCCTGTGTGTGACCGTAGGATTCCTAAAGACTTGTTATTGTTTTTGTATGTTTTGGAGCCTGTTATCATGAAAAGTAGTTCTGTCAGCGTGATATTTCAGCTCTTTGACCAGGCGCAATGTGATTTGATAACTCAAAGGAGGGCTCCCGCTTCAACTAACCGTGTGTCCTGGTACCTCGTCAGTATAAATTGTCCATGTTATCATTGATTAGTTGAACAAAACCATAACAAATGTATTTAAAATGTTCACCACTCTCATCTCATTGCACCACATTCTCAGAAGTGACCAGTCATAACTTACAGCTCAGGAATCTCATTTGGCCCATCCTCAGGTTGACAGGTACAGTGCTCTCCGCACTAAACCCAAAAGGCCTGGAGGCGCCCTGGGCAAGCCAGGGAAGAAAGCCAAAGATAAGCAGAGCGCCGCACTGAGGGGCTCCAAGAAGACCACCTCGGAGAGCCTGCCCGAGAGCCGGCCCGCCGCGGGGGACAAGGAGAAAAGTAAAGAGATGAACAACAAACTGGCTGAGGCAAAAGAGTAAAATCCTTTAGCATACTTCTACTTTGATCTCTTATTTGTTGGGGAAACAAACACAGAGGCTGCAACACATTTCATTTATTCTCCACTTTCCCTCCCTTTCTTTCCTCTCTTCTTTGATCGATCTGTCACTCATCCTTCTCCTCTGTCCTCTCTCACTATACCTCTTGGCTAATTTCTATAAGAATAATAAGATGTCGGGGTTCACACATGACATGCCATCTCTCCTCCCACCTCATGCTATGTCACACCGCTATAGTAACGAGTGGGCGGGAGCATCCTCTTCCTCCTCCATTTGATGCCACCCCCACTCTGCTCGCCTCCATCTCCAGGTTGCCATGGCTACTGGCTGCCTAGGCAAGGCAATGGATGGCTGTAGTTGCATGGGCTGCCTTTGATCGGCTCAGCAGATGCTCTGTCGAGTTTATCAAGGATCTTTGAGAAAAGATAATTGTCACTTTGGATTCAGTCTGCTAAATGAACAACACATCTGAAAGATCTTTGATAAATGTCCCGCTTGGTTAGTCATGAGTGTGTGATTCAGGCTCGGTGTGTACCTGCTCTGTCTCTCTGCTTCTGTTCTCTGTTCATGGCACAGCTCTAATATCACAACGCTCTGTTCAATGTGATCAATGTCTCATTTCCACCTGTTGTATGAACACTACATTGTTTTTAGTTTATCTCAAAATGCTGTGCTATCCTATTCAGCTTTTGCTCTTTCATGTGCAGTCCATCAACACAGTTATATTTCACTCAAGGCTATTTTGTAATAACCATTGTGCTGCCAACAACCATCTGGGTCATGCTATACTGATTATGCATTAAACACCAGTAATTTGCCTGGATCTTATTCAACTAAATACTGTGGTGCAGCAGTCATCGTGACATTTAGCATTCGTTAAAGTGTGACAACATGTCTCAGCAGCTTAGAGAGGGATGAGTTCAAGGGTTTCAGGTTGTATCCGATCAGCCTAGCACATAGAGCTGTCAGTCAAAAGCTTTATTAACAAGACTGATCCCTCTGCAGAGCAGTAGCATGTAGCATGCTAACAAACACACCTGCTTTTGGCTTCTTCATGGGACGACAGCAGACAGATTATATGAATGCTTCATTTCCATAACCTTTAAAGAGGGAGATGTATGGATGAAGCACAGATTGACGTTTTTAATAAATCATGAACAAATCACTGCCATTTGTTACAATCTTTTTACAAGTATAAGACGTTTTATCGCATTTCTTTTATAGTAGTTTGTTAAAATAAGGGCGAAGTGATGATGATAAGTGTAACTGATTTATTTTTTGACTCCAATGTGCATCACTCTTTGTTTCTGAATCAATGTGAATCCACTTGTTTTGTCCAAAGAATGAGTGTATGCTGGTTTAGTTTATTTAACCCTCCTGTTGTCTTCGGGTCAAATCTGACAGATTTACTACTTTCATCGATCATAACTTTTTTGTTTTACATTCGATTGCATTAAGGCTTCATGATATCCTTCACAGTAGACATTTGAACATATACAATTGCTGATCACCCCTTTCATTGAATTTTGGATGATTTAGTCAACTTTGTAACACCATGGTGTTCCCGCTCAAAAATGACCGCCATAAAGAAAAGGAATTAGTAACCATCCGGATCAGATACAACACACACACTTACTCTAGATGTGTGTGTCCCCTTATGTGCCCAATCCCCCCATGTGAATCACACCTGGCACACACACACACACACACACGCATGCACAGAAACACACACACACAGATCAATTTGACACATTTCCCGCTCTTATGTGCCCCTCCCCCCACATGGATCACACCTGGCACACGCAATACATGTTCAGTGTCTATTATTTGTATATTGACTGCAGTGTTTCATGTGTACCAGTAGTCTGATACAATATTTACAGTTTGAAAAGGTGTTAAATTAAATGTGGTGATGATTAATGGTTTTTGTGTTAATGTAATAGCAGTTAAAACAGGACCGGTCAAATTTGACCGTGAACACCAAAGTAAGGGGGGGGAAACGAAGACAATAGGAGGGTTAAAGGGAATATTGAATCTGGATTTACTTTTGCTTTTTCGGGTAACATTATGGTGCTGTCTTTGTGCGAAGACGTATTTAGTCGAACATACCAAAATAAACTGTAAAGCCTCCATTTATAAATTCTGGTTTATTCCTAATGACCTTTTTAGGATGCGTTAAAGACAATGGGAACAGGAAGTAACTTGTACCATCACTAAAATGAGTTGAAACTAACTATAACCTCTCTTGTGTTTAAATATGTTTATATACAGACGATATAGGCTAGGTGTTGGAGTCTACACAAAGCATTGTTTGCTTTCACTAAGTCTTAGATTAGAAGAGCACTGTTAGTCCTATCACTATAACCCCCATCACACCTCACTGTTCTCATTAGCTCTGCTTCTCAGCATCCTTCCCTTCATTCTGAGCGGACGAATGCACCATCTCATCTCCTGTGGTGTTGGAGACCACCACCTCCATCAGAGCCTGGGCCCCATCAGGCAGCAGGGCCGGACTCATTAGCATTTTGCAGCCTTTGGTTGGGGGACGTTTGTCATGTAACACAAGGGAGGGGGCTCGTAGGGGCAGTACATGTAAAGAGTTGTTAGCACAACACACACCCTGTGCTAGCTTTGTGATTATTAGGAAAATAAGGATAGAAAGTATGGTGAAGAAAGTTATGTCTTGAGCAAAAAAAAAATGGACTGTGACGTGCTTGTGTTTCTATCTGCTTGCTCGTATTTAATGAAACATTACAAATAAATGCAAAAAGCAGAAAAAGCAGTGTCTTCTCGCTTCTTTTTTGTGTTAATGGTGAAGGTTAGTGGCTGCAGGTTTCTGTCTTCCTCCTGTCTTTGTCTTTGTGACAGACAACATTGAATAAATCCACATGGAAGAAAATGTTTGCTCTCACAACTTCTTTCTATGCTTATCCAAAAGTTGCGTCACATTCTGGCATGAGCTCTGACATCCTTCCCTGCCCTGCATGGTGCCTCATGTGAGAACTAACGAATATATTATTCCTGCATCACGTCTCTGATATATTCTCATCCTATTTATAGAGCAACATGCATGTCAAAGGATGTTCAGAACCGTATTCCAGAATCAAATGTCATATCTTCAATGATGCAAAACCCCCCCACAAATGTGTGTTATTACATTACTGAGATCATTTTGTTCTTTCTCATACTTATGCTGTTTGTGGTGTGCTAATGAGTGACATTCTGATTCATTTGAAGGGTTGTGCTAAAACAGTACCACTACGTACAACTCTGCCAGCCAATCCGAGACATTGGCTGGGTGCAGACCCTAAAGCAACACCTGTGGGGCTGTGCCCTCCCCGACCCAAGGTAATCAATCGAGACAACAGCCAAAGGAAATAGACCCTGAGCCACAAATGCACTCATTCCCATTCATACATGCTCATGGAGTTGTGATTGACTTTTGTTTTCTATTGCAGTGGCACAGTTTTTTTTCATCTCTGGTCTGAATAGCACTGTATATTTCTCTTCCATATGGACCCCAGAATAGGGGCGGGGGGGCTGTCTGCCGTCACATCCTACATGTAAGGTGCCTATTCTTAAAGAGGCCCCAGGTTTAGTCCAGACATCTCCAACCATGTTTAAACCTGTCAGCTGCTGTAATGCATTCACTCTTCACAGTTCAACTAAATGCATGGCTGTTGCACTCAGGAACACTGCAGGCAACTGAACCGCTGACTTTAATTACATGTATTATTTCAACAAGTTTCACATACCGGTATTGGGTTAGTTGAAAGCAATAATATAAGTTGAACCTAATAATTTGATTCAAATGGTATATTCTTGCTTTCAACTAACCTAATACAGTTATGTGAAATCTGTTGTCATAAGACATTTAATTAAAGTCAACTCTTCAGTTTTTGTAGTGAAGGAGGTCAATATTCCATTCACTTATAAGTAGGGCTGTACTGTAGTGACCAGCTTGGACATTTCAACTCCAAAATTGACTTTCAAATGTATGACTATAGCTTCTTTTTCTAGTGCAATTCATTTATATTTCTGCACAGTTGCAGAAAAAGATTTGGCTTCCTTGATATTGTAGCATAATACCATTTGCACAATTCAAAATGTTCAGCTGATATTATGAAATATGTAGACAGAAATGTGAAGCTTATTTCATAGACCTTATTAGAAGCTTCAAATGTAAAAAAAAACAACATTTGTACAGCCCTGTTTATGAGGCAGGTCTCCTGCAGTTACATGCACTGAGATGTAGCACTTTGCATTCTGCTTGTTGTCACTGGGTCAAAGTTTCATACTATGTTTTGTAGTATAATGACTTTAATTTCTTTAATCTGAAGCATGCTGCCACTGTTTTCTGTTGGACCTGCAATCTAATGTTGTCTTTAATAATTTGAGGTGTTAGCTTGAATGTTAGATGCGGGGTAAGTATGCATGGAATGAGGGAAGCGGCTCTGCTTTGGAAACAAAGGAACTTGTAAGTGCATGTTAAAGATTTTCACTCTGACTTGTACCGATAATCTATATACTATTGAAATGTGGTTTGTTACTTTGCATAGTGCTATCTCTTGTAGCTACTATTTCACAGAACACCCGAGACCCTCATTGCTCTAATGGCATCCTGTAGTTCATAAATATAGATTAAAACCAATGGCTTGTATTGATCTAAAGATGCATCATTTGAAATAGAACAAACATCATTTCCATGTGAACTTTCCACTTTTATAGTCAAGTTTTCCAAGTTATATAACTTGAAAGTCACTCTGTATGTAATGTTAGTGATAAGTAAACCCAGAGTGATGCTGAAGCTGATCTCCTCTGGAATGAGCGGTCACAGGGTGCTCAGCACACTGACTTGTGTTATTCCGCCTGAGAGAAATGCTTCATCCCGTGTCTCTTTCTGTCTCCTTCTTCTCTGGTGTCTAAACCATGTGCTGCCTCCTAGAGATGCTAAGGACGAGGTACTCGGACCCAGTCATCATCATTCCCAGGGTGCTGCTGGAGGAGAACCACCCCCTCCGCTGGAGAGACCCGAGCACCGCAGGAGCAGCGGAGTGGTACGCTTCGAGCTAGACGTGAAGCAGCCGGAGTAGATCTGCCCGTCAGGGTGGAGGCAGACACCATACAGACTGAAGCTCTGTACTGTACATAGTATATGAAATTGGATTAGGAAGAGTTAAAACCACCAAAACTATCCACACTTTTAAAACACGCATGTTTGAGTCGCTATTACCTCTAATATCACCGCTGTTTGACACATGGCATTATTGCAAAGGTGCTACATCATGTTCATGCAATTTATTTTCAATGATTATGTCAATATCATTAGAAAATACCCCACCATAAAGTGCTTATACAACAACTACACATTCAACTGTGCTGTAAATGGATCAGTTTTAGTGTAAATAAATAATCACAAGAGATTACCAAACTGTTCTGTAGTTTTTATTGGATGGTTGGTCTTTTTCAAATGGGTGTGAGGTGATGTTAAGTTATTAAACAGTTATTGTTGTGGCTTCCTTCCTTGTCTTTCTATCAAGCCATAGACGCCTTAAACAGACACTTATAACTCCTTTTCTTTCTTACAGTTTGAAGAGTTGCTTGGCCTCCGATGGTTAGATGATGTTGCGATGTGTTTGCTCAAAATAAAATAACAAACTTTTGCACATTCAACAAAGAAAAGAGGCCTTTACAATTTTCAAAAGAAATAAGCATAACTCAAATAAAATAATAAACAACTTAGGTATTCTTTCTTTCTTAATAATGCTTATATAACTTCATAATGGGTAATTGTACGAGTTGTAGGTCTACGTGTACGGTAAAAAACTGTTCCTCTGCGGCGTCTCTCAAACAGGTTGCCCATCACTGTGGCTTTACCGCAGACGCCGTGGGAATTGTAGTCCTTTATAATGTGTTGACTACAGATGTCACAATTAGGTGGCCTTTCTTATAAATAAAAAATACTGGCTCTAACAGTTATGTTAAAGTGCAGAGGTGAAACCTTCGGGATAAATGCATCAAAAAGGGATGGTTAAATAATTATGAAATGTGGAATTGGCCTTAATACCACTATTACCCACCCACTATTTTGGTATATTTCCATCATACTTAATTAATTAATTTAACATGATGTCGAGTATACCTGCTGCAGAGCCACTATTTCAAGTATACTACGTCATCGAGTGGCGCCGAATGCTGGGCATTTAACATGCATTTAAACAGTCCTTCGGCGCCACTCGATGACGTAGTATACTTGAAATAGTGGCTCTGCAGCAGGTTTACTCGACATTGAGAAACGGCCACAATCTACCTTTTGTAGGCTTCCTATAGCTACAGATCTGCAACTAGCATAAGAGACAAATGTCTGTATGAAATGTCAGTATCGTGTAGCATTGTGGGTAATGTAGGTTTCAGCAAGGAAGAAGAACGCATAGAGTAAAAAAGAGAATACTTATGGTTCTGTATGATGACTTAGATCCTTCTGGTCCCAACTGACCATCACGACAGGGTAGTATCTTTAACTTTTCCAGGGCTCTTTAAATGTTGTTTAAACACAAGCAGCCGCACACAAACTGGAATAAAAGGTCAATAACTCAAAAATATCTGATCAATGAATGCGCAAAAGATTCAGTGCCATCTTTCAGGATTTGACACTTTTGGATACTGTGTTTTTCCGCACCAAAACCTTATGCGGTTTCATACTTAACCCTAAAGTAATCCATTAACAACACTGAGGCAAGCCTGGAACTCCAGAGCTCCTCCATTGTAAACCACTCTGCTTGTTCCTCCATATGTATCCCTGCTGCAGAAAAACCAGGACAGAACCTGTTACCATGCACTCCTGTCTGCACTCCAAGTCAACAACAAAAAGGAAAGAGTGATGGATTACCTACTTCCCTTAAAAAAGCACATGCAGTATTTTTGGAAGTGATTTTGGCAGGATTTTTGGGTGCGTCATTAAAACAAGCGGGACTCATATTTCATTTATGGCTTGCAGTCCAGCACATAAGGGAATATGGAGATTAAGACACAATACAGGAAACAAGGCCAGGGAGCTGGTTTCACGTTCAGATTCCTTGTCACTTTTAATGTAACTCCTCATTAGCCTATGGCTTTCATTCATTACTGCTGTTAGCTTCAGAGGAAATGTAAATGACAAATGATATGATTGCACTAACATCTCCACACAAGCACACAGTCAGCACCTAGTGTGCACAGACAGCGTTGAGCTCACTGTTTCAGCTTGCATTGGTGCTGAACATTTCTGGGATTAGTTCAATTGTTCATGGAGAGACTGTCATCTTTATAAAAGCACTGCAGGAGAGGAAGTCAGCAAGTCAGCCAATTTGATGGTATAAACGGAAATTGGTGAGCAAAATATCACTGTCCTGAGAGAGAGAACTGTTGTGTAACACTGTTTGCACTTGTTGGTGGAAAGAGAAAGCCCAGAGAAAGGTCTATTCTAACATTTGTAACATGAATGTGCTTTTACTGCAGTTTTAACATGCAGAAGACCACTCATCCTAAATTGTAAGCAATCCTCAGATCTGCGTCTAAAGCCCCGGACACACCAAGCCGATGTTGGCCGTCGATGGATGTCAGGCCGACGATTAGCGTCCTGTCGCCCTACTCAGATCGGTGTGTCCCGCACCGTTGTGTCTCTTCGGCCGTGCCGACAACTTTTTGGCCGAAAACCTACCGATTCGACATGTTGAATCGGTAGGCAATCGACCAAAGGCTGTCGGTCAAATAAATCACTCTGATTGGCTGTTCAGCTAACGAATCAGTGCATGAGAAGCGAAGCGGAAGTGAGGGACCCAAACAAATGATTAAGAAGGCAAATGTGAGATTTCATTTAACTCCAGCTCTCGACACAGGTTCGGGAAAGCCCCATGAGCTTCTCACTGTAGAGGGAAAATGGAACGCACACGCTATTTGTTGTTTGTTTGTATCACGCAGTCTGTTCTTCTTCTCTGTCTTCCGGTTGTTGCCTCTTTTGAATGACGAATACACACTACCGCCGCCTGCTGGTAAGGAGAGTTGCCACTCACGCATGCGCAGTTCGTTCGTGCTACTTGGCCGTCGGCTGAAGTCTTTGCGGTGAGTTCCAGTGCGACACATGGCCAAGACGCAGAGACGTGAGGCGACACAACAGTCGGGGGTCCGTCTGTGTCAGTTCTTTGGTGTCAGCTTGGTGTGTCCCTACCTTTAAGGTCCTTACACACCAAACTGACACCAAAGAACACGTCCCGACGGAACGTCGCCTCACGTCTCCTGCGTCTTGGCCATGTGTCGCACTGGAACACACCGCAAAGACTTCAGCCGACGGCCAAGAATGCGTGAGCGGCAATAACTCTCCTTACCAGCAGGCGGTAGTAGTGTGTATTCGTCATTCAAAAGAGGCAACAACCGGAAGACAGACTGCGTGATACACCGAGAGAAGAAGAACAGACTGCGTGATATAAACAAACAACAAATAGCGTGTGCGTTCCATTTTCCCTCTACAGCGAGAAGCTCATGGTGCTTTCCCGAACCTGTGTCGAGAGCTGGAGTTAAATGAAATCTCACATTTGCCTTCTTAATAGTTTGTTTGGGTCCCTCACTTCCGTTTCGCTTCTCATGCACTGATTCGCTAAGCTGAACAGCCAATCAGAGTGATTTCTTTGGCCGACGGCCTTTGGCCGACAACCTCCCGATTCAACATGTCGAATTGGCGGCGGAAGGTGTCGGCACGGACGAAAAGACACGACAGTGCAGTACACACCAAGACACACCAATCGGAGTAGGGCGACACAACGCTCATCGACGGCCCGACATCTATCGACGCCTAAAATTGGCTTGGTGTGTAAGGACCTTAAGGGGTCAATTGATCCGACTCAAGGGGTAAATTGAGCCATCTGGGAGTAACCACTACCAGCTTCGGTGTCTGCACTGTAGTGACACCTGTTTCCTCATCAATATAAATCACGTTTGGAGGGAATTAATGCCTGTAAAACAAACATGAAAGAACCAGATCAGAACCCCCCAAATAGATATCCTTGTTAACGTAGCTGGTAGGTAAACACATGTACCAGTCTGTTGTAAATGTACTGTACAGATTGTTATAGTCTAGTCATTGATAGTTATTCATGTTATCAAATGTGGTTAGTCTCTTATCTGTCAATCACTTTTATTATAGGCTGTAGTCCTTCCTAAAGATGTTACTTACGTACGGCAGGAAAGATGCTGGCGTGCCTTAAAATGATTGAACCGATCTAGACCTAAAATAATAGAATTCCTTCTATCAAGATTCTGTATTTAGCTCCACAAGACCAGTCACCCTTAGCTGACCTACTGGATCATGTGACCTCTCACACCCTACCTGCTGAACCCTTATCTCTCCGGCTGTTTGGGACAGGAATGTTGTTCTTTCTACAATGTTTGAAAGAAAAAAAAAAAAATCAGTTGTGTAAAACTACTCTGAAATCCCATTTTATACTACTGAGACTTAACTTAACTTCAGTGCCGCTTGGGGGGTTAAGTTGAACCATTGACTCAGTTTACCCCCCATTCTGTGGCTCACTTTGCCCCACAGCCACTTATATGTGTTTGGAAAAAATCTGTCTAGCTGAGTCATTCATGCTAATCTTTAGCTAAATGATTCACATGGTTTTACTCCTTGCTAAACAACCAAAATGCGCGATACATATTTTCAGACCTGGATAATTTAGCTTCGACATAACAGTAATTATGTACTTTGACAAGCCAAACATGGTTTATTGTGAAAAAAACACATTTACCAGTTGACATGTGCTTCTCTCCATCACAGCACATATACATGATGGGTGCTTCCTGAATTTATGGTTACATGTGCACAGTTCCCTAGATAAAGGGGGCGGGTCAACTTCCACACTTGCACAATTTACCCCACTCTCCCCTATCTTATTTGGTAACTC